GAGGGAGAGAGAGATAGAAACATCCAGGATGAGAGAGAATCATTGATCGGCTGCCTCCTGCACACCCACCCTGGGGATTGAACCCACAACCCTAGCATGTGTCCTGACCGGGAATCGAACAATGACCTCCTGGTTCATAGGTAGACACTCAACCACTGAGCCACGCCGGCCGGGCTCTAGGACACTCCTTCTGAACTCATTTTGGGGTGGTTTTACTTGCTTGGTTGGCATACTGGATGAGATGGACCTGTGTCATATTTGGGTCCAGTTGCTTCAAAGACTTCTCCAGAGTATCGTGTAGCATACCAGTAGGCCCTCTTTGAAATGAGACCTGTGTATGAGGCCGAGCAGTATAGACGACGCTGACTGGGAAACTGGAGACTGCTGGTGCATGGGCCGATGCTCAATCACTGAGCCACACCGGCTGGGCCCCTTCTCTTTCCAATCTCACCCCTCCTCCCTATGAATTCTTTCTGCGAGTTTTTAGGCAGAGAGGGGTCTGGATAGCCTACCTGTGCCTTTAACTAGAGACACCAGCATGTGAAGAGATGCATTCTTTGCCGGGCATCTGGAGGCAAATGCGTCATACCTAGCTGTTTGGGAATAAGAAGTCTTCCTGGCCCTCGCCAAGCCCTTCCTGGCCGCCCGGGGGGCTGTGTCTCCGGGCTCTGTTGGGAAGGGTGTGATACAGGATGACACGGCCCATGACAAGGGCACTGGATTAATGCCGCTGCAGTGTGCTGGGCTGCTCTTGTGAGCTGAACACAGGGAAAGGCCGGCTGCGTGCTCGCCGCGTATTAACACAGGTGCCGGGGCTGACTCAGGCCTGTCTGCCGACTGGAGAAGCTGGAGGTGGGTGGAGGCTGTGTGTACAGATGGGCTCCCGCGCTGACTCAGGTCTCTAAGGTGTCGACACGGAGGGCACAGCTTGGGAAATGCTCTGTGTGGAAAGGGCTGACTGATGGCCTGGGCTGCCTTCTCATCCCTTCGATATGTTAGGAAAGTCCGGCCAACGGAAATGGTGCCCTTCCTCTCCTTACCCCCAGCCCCCCTTGTGGGCTAGCTGGCGTGACACACTTTTTTTTTTCTGTGACCTCTTGTCAATTTAGATTTATATTTTTAACATTCTTTTTCTTTTAGTTTTCTTTTTAAAATATATTTTTATTGATTTCAGAGAGGAAGGGAGAGGGAAAGAGAGATAGAAACATCAATGATGAGGGAGAATCATTGATCGGTTGCCTCCTGCACGCCCCCTACTGGGGATTGAGCCCTGGACATGTGCTCTTGGCCAGAATCTAACCTGGGACCCTTCTGTCTGAAGGCCAGTACTCTATCCACTGAGCCAAACCGGCTAGGACTCTTTTTTCTTTTAAAGACGAAGGTAAAACAGTTGTGGACATCGGTATGAGTACAATGCCTAAAGACACCAGATTATAGTCATAATAGAATCAGCTGTATAGGAATACTTTCAGCCGCAAATCATAAAACTTTAATAACGGTGGTTTTAAAATGAAAGGCATTTATTTGCCTCACAAGGAAGCCAGGAAAATAGAGTTCAAGACTAGTTCATCACTCAATGATGACTCCCAAATCCATGCTTCCTTCTACCTTTTTCTATTTTTCTTCCCCAGCTTTACCTGTTGGCCTTTCACCCTCATGGATGTTGCCTCATAGTCACAAAACAGCTTCGGTAGTTCCAGGCATCACATTTGCATTCAAGGCAAGACGAGGGAAGAAATTAACAGTATTAGCAATCTGTCCCTTTTATCAGAGAGCAAAAGTCGATCTTACAATCTAACTTTCGTTCCATATGTTGTGTTTATTCATGTTTCTGGAATCTCTCCCTTTTCCTGTACTTCCTTGTAGAGGGAACTCTAGGCTATAGTTCAGAGTTATGGTCTTCTCTTTTACTCTGACAAAGATAAAAAAGGAGATTTCCAAAGGTATGAGAAAGAGATGGGGAGACAGAGAGAGATAGAGATAGAGATAGAGATAGAGATAGAGATAGAGATAGAGATAGAAATGATAGAGATAGGGATAGGGATAGTAGAGGAAAAGAGAGAGAATGAATTACCCAAGACATGGAGAGATGTACTTTGGTCTACTTCAGTTAATGCAAACTAATATTATATTTCCCCAGCCATAACTTTAACATCACCTGCTATGAATGTACCTGCCTGCCCAGCGAGTTCTCCTGTGCCTCATTCGTTATTAGTAAGATTTCAAATTGAAGTGGTGACATAAGAAGACCCATGAGTAGGTAGTTGGCTGGATAGTCAATCTTACTGATCAGTTATTTTAGGGGGGCAAAAAAGGAAGCCTGTTACAGATGTAGCAATTAACTTTGACTAAACGGTCCAGGACTGGACCTGGCATTTGGATAGGAGACTTTTCATACCTGCTTTAACATGTATAAGAAACCTGACTTCAGCCCTGGCTGGTGTGGCTCAGTTGGTTGAGCATCATCCTATATACACTGAAAGGTCACCGGTTGGATTCCTGGTCAGGGCACATGCCAGGCTGTGGGTTCAGCCTGAATGGGGTGGGGGGGGGAACCAGAGCAAATAATCCTGTTTGGTCTCTCTCTCTCTCTCTCTCTCTCTCTCTCTCTCTCTCTCTCTCCTCCTGAAATCAATAATAAAACAAAATATTTAAAAACTGAATTCAGACTTCAGTTCATTCAAGCATTAAAAAAAATAATAATTCTTTCTCCTCTCCTTTTTTAGTCTAAGAGAATGAAAATGAAGGCCCAGGAATTTCAAAAAACTGTCCAAAGATTCCTCGGAATGAGCCTATTAAAAAAGAAGGAATTTTATTTTGTATTATCCAAGGCAGGTATCCAAGGCCACCACTTACGGCAGGCATTGCTAGCCAATCACAGTCCACTTCCTCCCACACACCTGGCAGACATCGCCTCCCACACACCTGGCAGACATCGCTAATCAATTGCAGCCAACGTAATGTAATGCTGGTTTTTGGTTTCATAACCTACTGGCCACCTCTGTCACAGGCATCTTCCATTGCCTTCTTTGAATAGATCTACAAACCAGAACACTGTTTCATTCAGTCAGTTAAATTTTGTTGAATCTCTTTCTAAGAGGAGAAATGTCCTTTTAAACATTTTCTACCCCCACCCTCCCCATGATAAAGATCTCTGTTCAGTCATAGAGTGTGCCCCAGACTCTGCCATGGTTGCCCTGGGGGTGCACACAGCTGGCCTTGGAGATGATCCCACGGAGAGGTATCAACTTCTCTGCAGGAAGCTCCGCAGAGACGCATGGCCAGGGGGTGACCTGGAAGGGCCCCCCACCTCTGCTTCCCACAGCTGGAAACACCTGTCGGTGGGTGGGATGTCTTGGGTAGAGAGACTTTGCCCCGGAATTCGTGGTGCTAGCATATCCCCTTTCCCACGGGGCTCCAGCATAATTGAGCAGGCCCCCTGGGGAATTATTCACATGGAACTGGGCTGAAAGGGCCTAAGGATTCTCCCTCTTTGGATTATATGAGGTTAAGGAGGAGCGGATTGGGGGAAGAGGGTCTATTCCACTGGTAGCCAGATAACTAAATAGTGGTTGATATTTCTAACCATCTTCACTGACTAAAGAGCCAGTTAGAATATGACCACATCAAAAAAAGTCCTAGCAAATGTGTTAACCCTTTTTGAGGCGAACCTGTCTTCTCAAGGTACTGATTTCTGTTATTTTGGTTGCCTTCAGCCTTCTTGGATGGTTCGCTGAGCCTGGCTTTAGATGTGAAGAATGAGGAATTTGAAATTCACATGTGTTTGTACAGCACAATTTTCATTTGCAAATTACTGTCCCATGACAGAGACTGGGGTTCTAGAATTGTGCTCTAGGCCTTGTCTTCCCAATAGGATACCCATTCATTCTTACAAATTAATTGCAAAATCCCCCGGCCAATGTGGCTCAGTGGTTGACCGTCAACCTATGAACCAGAAGGTCACTGTTCAATTCCTGGTTAGGGCACATGCCCGGGTTGTGGGCTTGATCCCCAGTAGGGGGCGGGCAAAAGGCACTTGATCAATGATTCTCTCTCATCATTGATGTTTCTATCTCTCTCTTTCTCTCTCCCTTCATCCCTGAAATCAATAAAAAATATTTTAAAAATTAATAGCAAAATAACTAACATTTATTGAGATTTTCCTCTTGCAAGGCACTGTTTTAAGCACATTATATATGCATCTTTAATCCTTACCTCCCTTTACATCAGGGACTATTAGCAATCCTATTTATAGATGAGAAAATGAAACCCAGAGAAGTTAAGGGACTTCCCCAGGGTCACACAGCCATGAAGTGGCAGAACCTGGGTTGGAACTCAACTAACATGACCTCACAGCCAGTAACCTGAAACCCAGTTCCCATTCCCATCCCTTGCACCTTGGAGATGAACTAATTATTGCTCAACACCTGTTTTCCTTGAACGAAGGTGAAGAGATTTCCTCTCTGAGCAGCAGTACTGGTTCTAGGCCTCCCTCTGCACCCTGGTTCGTGTTTCCCACGTCTTTGCTGCAATGGAGAAAACCCTAATCCTCAGGGCACCAGACCGATTCCTGGATCTTTATTATTTTTTCCTCACTCATGTTAAGGTTGCCCTTCCTCGTCCCCCTTCCCCTTCCTCATCCGCTCCCCTGGCTAGCATTCCAAGGGCAGCAGAAACCTTTAGCTGGGGAGCCCCTGTTGTTGCTTTCCAGCTTCGTTTGATCCTATTTTGTGGTTGACTTGGCGAAAGTCCACATCTGTCACCAACGGGCTTTCAAGAAGCTGCAACTCATATCGGATTTGACCTCCACACACACCCAGTTCTGAGGCATCCATTTCCTTTCAGGGCTGGGTTGCTCTCATCCCACATCTCTCTGTCTTGCTCTCCGCCTCTTCCCTCTCCTCCCCCTCAGTAATCCTCGGGGCTCAGGAAGGACCTTAGCATGTTTCTGTTGCTGTGTGGCATATGTTGTGTCCTAATCCTTCCTGTGTTTGCTGTAGGTATGGCGGTTCTCCAAGACAAATTACCCATGTTGTTGAGGAGGTCACCGGGGCTGGCAGCGTGCGGATGGGGGAGGGGAAGGAAGATGTTTGTGGTGATGCACTCCCGGGGCCGCCTCCGCCTCCTGGCCTGTTCAGTGCTTGTCTGCCTGTGAAAGTGCTGGACCCCGAGACCCCAAGCTGCGAGCTGACAGGAGGGGAAGGAAGAAGAGAGCTCTGCCTACTGGCCCTGTCATTTGATGAAGGGGAAGCTTGTGTGGGCCAGACCTCGGGCAGCAGATGTTGGTGGAGGACCTGCCAAGACCGTGTTGAGGGTAAGGCAGTGATGCATATGTTACTTGACACGGGGGGATTAGGGAAACCATGAGGAAGCATGCCTCGTCCCTTCACACCGTGACACCTCGGGGATGTGAGTGATGAGAACAGAGAGGCACAGTCCACGCACACACAGGGAGTGACGGGCCCGAGGGCAGGCAGCGTGAATGATGCCTTTGCTTGCCCCCCCCTCCCCCACCCACTACCCCGCACTCCCCCGCTGGGCCGATTGGCAGGCGTGGTGAGATGCATTGTTCGAGCTGCAGAATCAAAAGCAGGAGTCATTTGATGGAAGAGCTGCCTTCAGGGTTGTCCTCCCTCGTTCTGCCCAGTTAGCCTTCCCCGCCCATCCCCACAGTGATAAGGGATGTGATGCGATGCCCGGCCCCTTTCCCTGGACTTTGCAAATGAAGTCATATGGAAGGCGGCCAGAGGGGCCAAGCGTTTGTCTTTGTTGATGGCACCAGGAAGCACCAATGAAAAGGAACACTATTCAACGGGCTCCGGTCCTCGGGGAAAGCGGGCAATGGGACCATTGGAAATCGGAGACTGGGCTAAAGAGAACCAGGCATCGAGTGGGAAGAAACGGGCCAGATTCCACGGTTCCTTTCTTTCCCTTTGTGTTAGGTTTTCATGGGACTCTACTTGCTCCTGGTTTGGGGGGCGGGGTGTGGGTAGAGGCAGGCAAGAGATGCAAGCTCTCATCTGCATTCCCTACCTGTGCAGTGGGGGTGGGGTGGAGGGAAAGAGGGAGACTGTGGAAGACTGGCCTTGGGAGAAGCATATTTTGGTCATGAAATGGCTTTGGCCGTGATTCCAGGGTCTACATTTCTTTCCGCGGCTATTGCACTCCCGGAGGAGGGGGGAGGGCCACCCAGTTGCCCTTCTGGATCCAGTGAGGCCGTGGAAATTCTCTCAGCTGGAGGACCCCTACAAAGAGAGGTCAAGGTTGTGTGTTCCCATCAAATGAAACACACCTGTAGACCAAGTTTTGGTTGCCTTTCATAACTTCACCCTGTTTCCACCAGAGATTCCAGGAGGGAGAGAGAAAGGAAGGGGAAGGGAAAGGGCCCTAGAAATCAGGAAACGTGGTGAGGGATGGAGAATGCAAGAGGGAGCGTGTGAGAAAGAACGAGGAGGACGAGGAGAGCCAAGAGGGGAAGCCTGCAGCATTCGACATGAGAGAATGAAAGTTCAAGTAGGTGAGGCCTAGTGGCTGTGTTCATCTTCACCCACTCCGGGACCTAGAATTTCTTCGCAGGCTGGTGGGAACCATTTATGGAGGCACTGAATGGAGTCAGAACTCAGACAAGAGGAGCTGTAAGAGTGTACACACTGTGGCTGAAATATCTCCCCTTCTCTTGACTAAGGGTTCCCACTGAGAAGTCCTCAGACTGCACAGCTGTTTTCAGAGCCTAAGAAACAGTGTAAGGAAATAGTGCCAGGATGGGGGCAGCTTGATGGGCAGCAGGAAGAGCCACGGGTACTCTTCTCCTGATCTCATTATGGGGAGACTTCTCCTATCAGAGATGCATTCTGGGAGATTGGTCTCGAAGGGATTCTATAGTCATATGATTCCCTCCCGGCCGTGCCAACATGAGACCCAGAGCAAGGTGTGCTCTGTGAACCCGAGTCATCTCATGGGTGAACCACCCACCACGCTGAGGTCCAGAAGCTGAGGTGACATCTCTGCATAGGGCTGGGGCGCTGTCCGATGCCCGGTAGAGACCTGATAACATTTTGTCGAATGAATGAATGAATGAATGAATGAAGTAGTTATGTTTTGTCTTTTCCCTTCACACGTCTTATCTCCACCCCCAACTGGCTTAGTTTAGGCTTTCTTTCAAATCTGATGAGAGAAGTTAAGAGGGACCATAAGGCAAGGGGTGATTGGGGTGCCCCAGGCCCAGGAGGCGGCCGTCCCCAGCCCAGTGGAAGGGCCCTGAGAAGTTTGTAGTTCCGTTGGCTCTTGACTTTGTCCAGAGCTACCGATGGGGACTCTCCTGGCTCAGGGTGAGAGTGGGCAGAGAACTCTCTTCTGATCAGCGAGGTCTGCAGGAGTGGCTGCAGCCTCTGACAAGCAGGTGACATGAACCCCTTGGAGGAATTCTGAGCATCTCTGCGTCTTCCTAATGAATTCCAAACTAACCAATCAGAGAACAAAATACAGCCTGGGAAGTGAGGGAGAAGGGAGTGAGAATGTCTCCTCAAGGATTTTCTCCCTGGGACCGAAGTATTTACATTCAGATTTGCATATGATTTGCATATAATTTGTGTCTGGCTACAAAGCCTGTCTGTTGTTCAGATAATGTTTAAGCTAAAGTTGATTTCCAGAAGGTCCACCCCTCCCCCTTTCCTTACTCTACCTACTCAGATGTAGGGTGGAAGTGTCAGGGTGTCAGGACTGTCAGGGGACAAGGTGAGTCCTGCCCCCCAGCCCCCGGCCCAGTCACATGCTCTCTGTCAGCACTGCTGCCAGCTAGTATGCATTTTATTGTCACCGCAATTGAAACCAGGACAGGGCTGCTTAGGAGCAATAAAGGGGAGAGTTATCCCAATAAAAAAAAAGGTAAAGTCTGGGGAAATTATTAATGATATGAGCTAACATTTATAAAAGTGCCTGCAATGTGCCAGACATTGTTTTCGGTGCTTTCTATGTATTACGTATCTAATCATCCTAACAGCCCTATGGGGTGAGTACCAGTATTACTCCCATTTTATAGATGAATAAACTGAGGCACACAGAGGGTCAATCACTTGCCTGAGATCATGCAGCTTGAAAAGAGATGGAGCCAGGACTTGAATGGGTCCTCAGACCCCAGCACTGTGGTTTAACTAGCCTGCTAGGCTGTGTACAGGACAGGGAGGCATAGCTCTGGCCAGCTCTTAACTTTAGGCTGCAGGGATGGCCGCTCTGGCCCTGAAAGGGTTGGGGACAAGATGTGTGGACATCCAGGGGCTCAGGAGATGGAAAGAGATTGTAGAGCCCCCAGCCCTCAGCACCAATGAGCGACAGCCCTTCTGGTGTTTTCCGAAGCCACCCATGTTCACTCTTACTTTTGACAGAGAACTCCCTCAGGGCAAGAACTGGTCTGAGCCTGAGACTGTGAGAAATCCCTGGTCAGTGGCCCGGAGTGAGAGGGTGGCTGGCCAGACAATGGCAGGGATGAGTCACCCTCCCTATAGTCAACACTCCAGGAATCCATGTTATCAGGCTCTGAATGACCACAGGGAGAGTCTCACCACAAAGGGAAAGGAGAGCGAGGAGCCCCTGCTGTGTGGCGTCTGGAAATAATGCCACCTCTCTGTTCAGTCCCACTCTTCCTTTTCAGCCTGGATCTGCAATGCACGCGTTCCTCTGGTGTTCCTTGCTTGCTTGCTTTTTATGTGGTGTATCGGGGTGTTGTCACTTCTGCCGAATGAGAAGGGGCCGGCAGCAGCTGGGAAGTGCAGGGGGTTGTAGCTGAAAACAAACCTCGCCAGAGCGGAGCGGGGAACATAATTAATGAAAGATGGTGGTGCGGCCGCCGGTTAGCATTGGCTGAGGCCTTGTGAGAAACTTCCCGGAGCCGGCTTGTTGTCGAGGAGAGGGTGTTGTCATCTGAATTAATTTGCATGACAATAGGCCGGCCCCTCATTATGCACAGGGATGCTAATGGGCACCAGCCAGAGTGCATTTCCATGGGAAAAGGATCTTCCTTTGAGGAGGCAACCTCTTCCTCCTCCCCCACTCCACCTCCCCTCCTCCTCTCCTCCTTCCCATCCTCTACCTTCTCCTCTCTCCAGCCCCCTACCCCCTCCCTCTTCCCTCCTCCCTCCTCTCTCCAACCTCCTCCCTCCTCCCTCCTCCCTTTCACCATCCTCCTGCCTCCGCACCCTCTTCCTTTGTCCCCCTCCTCCCCCTGTTCCGCCCTTTTTCTCCTGCCCTCTGCCTCTTGGTCGCAGTGGAGAGCGCCAGTCCTCACCTTGAGGAGGAAAGGGCGCTGTGAGGGGAAGGAACACGCTCAGAAGAAGGTGTGATGTGTGTGTATAATTGAAAACAAATGGGCCCCCAGTCCTGCCAGCCTGGTGGTAATGGGGTGTTGACACTGGGGAGAAGCCCAGTGGGAGCAGTGGGACCCCAGACACCGAGGTGCAGGGTGGGAGGCGGACGGGACGTTGGTGTGGATGGTACCTCTCTGGGAGCGAGCTGTTCTCTTGCAGCTTTGCCATCCACGCTCCCTGGAAGAAGAGCCTCACAGCCAGCACCACGCAGCCCTGCTCAGCCTTGCTGCCCTCACTCGCCCAGGAGGCTGCAGCATTCAAGGGGAGGGTTTGGAGCCAGATCATCTGGGTTCAAATCCCATCTCTGCCGGGTACCAGCCACACCAGCCCTCAGACTTTGGCTCTGTGACTTAACTCTGTGTTGCCCAGAGTCCTCCCGGGTAAAACTGGGAGCCCAGTGCCTCCCTGGAGGCTAAGTGCTTAGAAGCCACCTGGCAGCTGCTACATGTTAGGTCCTCACCCTTCCATGCAGGGGCCTCCATGGTCTCCCTGTCCCTTTGTAACATAAGCCAGGGGGCCTTTTAGATGGTTAGGTGACCGATTGTCCTGACAGTCCCACCCCCACCCGCCAGGGCTGTCCCCCACACTCCCACCACGGAGGGCGCGGGCTCAGTGGGGCTGGCCGGCTCACCATCAGCGTGCCCTTGGGAAGGAACTGTCCCTGATTTGTCACATTGTATTCCGTAGGTCAGCGGAGGAGCCCGACTCATCGCGCACTGTGGTGGCTGCAAGTTCCGGAAAGCTTATCTCAGCGTACCTCCGGGATGGAGTGCTCGCCTTCCCCGGAACGAGATTCCATAGCCGGAGTGGAATGACTGCGCCTAAAGCTAATCCTGAGCGGCTTCGCTTTGCACCGCAGTGTCCCCGAGGAGGAGACAGGCCGCCTCGCTGGCACGGAGAATGAGTCGTGGGCCCTTCGGCCGCGTTTCTCACCCCTTCTGACCTGAAGACACAGAGAGAAGACCGCCTTCCACAGACCAGGAATTGGCTGTCACCCCACCACATGCAGAATCTGCAGGAGCCTTGGTCTCGGACGTCCCAGCCCCCAGAACTATGAGAAATAAACTCTTGCTCTTTCTAAGCCACCCAGTGTATGGTATTTTGTTATATCAGCCCAAACGGAGTAAGACAGCGTCCATCAGCAACCCCAGTCCTGGCAGGGGGAGTCAGATCCAAGGATAGGGGCCTGGTGGGCAAGAACCCTGAAGTTTGATATCGCCCCAATTACAGTCACAGCAGTCACACACACACACACACACACACACACACACACACACACAACTGGTAGGCACTGAGTTGCAAATTTGAATGAAATATCTTCTTAGAAGGCTCCCTCTGAGGTAAAGAAAACAGATTATCTGATTGTTGCAATGCCATGTGGTAAATGCTAGAAAGGAGGTGATTCAAGGTGCTCTGGGCATAGAGAAGGTTGACCCAACTGAGCGGGGAAGGCTTCCGGAGGAGATGACTCACAGGGAGGATGAGGAGGAGTTACTCAGGTGACAGGTCAGGAGATCGGCAATGAGAACCCATTCAGGTACAGCCCCAGCTGTGAAAAGCAGCAAGGAGTGACCTAAGAAAGCAGAGCGAGGCGAGGTGAGAGGGGAGCTGCTCAGAGTGGAGAGAGGCTGGGTACAAAGAGCTTTCCAGCTGGTCAAAGAGATTAGGGTCCCCCCCACCCCCCGCCCCCTCCCCCCTAAACACGGGGCACTTTGGAAATGCTCTCCCATAGAAGACGGGTACCGTCAGCATCGTTCCTAAATGATCAGTCCTTAGGCGAGAGAACTACTCCAAGTTCTAATTGTCATAACAGGGGATGGCTTCATGAAGGAGGTAACACTTGAGATGGGCATTGAAATCCAGGTAGGATTTGAACATGCAGAGACGGGGAAAAGGTATTCCAGTTGGAGGGAGGGATATAAGCAAAAAAAGAAAAACAAGCAAAACCCCCCCCCAAGAGATTTGGGTAAAAGAAGGAGGAGGAGGAGGAGGAGAAGGAGGAGGAGGAGGAGGAGGGGAGGATAGGCCATTCAATGTGAACGATGCGGAGAGTGGTTAAAGGGGGAACTAGTGCGAAAATCAAGTCAACAATGTAAATGTCAAGATCATGGGAGGCTAACTCGGTTGTCTTTTATTTGCATTAGTTCCTGCCATTGGCTCACGAAGTCTTCTGAGCAATGATCAGTCCTGCCCCGTCCCAAGGAACGACACAGCCTTTGCCCTTGGCATCACTCCTCGTGGTGAGAGACTCGCTCTGTGCACCGATACTTCCTTCTGCTTCACGACGAGAAGGGTCTGTAGACTGTGACCCATGAGGGCGTCCCCAGCCCCTGACAGGCACGCCCACTTGCTCATTCCGCTGTTTGCCCCAGGTCAGTAGTCACCTGCATGTAAAGTTAGTTCTGGGGGTGGATAGAGCGCACTGCTTAAAACATGTATGGGTTGGTATGTTGTAGGAGTTACTTGCATAACGACTCCAATAAAATGATTTGGGTAAAAAGCAACTGGTAGCTACCGTGACTGACTTATAGGGTCTTTTGCATAACACTTCCCTCTCATGGCTGGCGCATCGCCCCCATTTTGGACTTCTTCCTGTCTCCATAGCTTTAGTGAGAGTCTAGTTCTGAGACGCAAGGAAGCTTTGTAAGCCTTCCCTAATGCAAAGGAGTTTGGACATGAACTTGAATGGCTATTGAGCGGATTTTCCAGCTGACAGGAGATGGTTAATTGCATGCTGTCTGCAGGAGGCTTAAAAATCTGTCTGGCCACGTTAATAGTGGCTTGAAATTTACAACTTGAGACCACTGGGGGTGATAAAGAATCCAGGGTCCCCACAACTCAGGGTAATAACCCCTTCGGTGAAAAAGAAAGCCCAGTGGGCAGGTCTCACAGCCCTATAAACAGAGTTGATCAAAGGCACACATGGTCCAACATCAGCGTCTCTGATAGGACTCTGTTCTTTCCTTCTGGGACGGCATCTGCTTTTTCCAGAGCAAATGCAGTCCATGGAGAGCAGGACTAACATCTGGGGGTAGGGAAGGGCCTGCTGGTACGCTATAGGGATGGAAACTCTGCGTCATTTTTAGAGACCAACTTTCCCCCGATATGGGATTTTGTTCTAACAACTGGAAAGGAAGACAGGCAACTTACTCCAAGTGGACGATCTTTTCTCTCCCTTGACTCCTGTGTCGAAAATGCAGGGTTGACGCTCACGAATGGAAGACACCCAATCCGTCTCCCAGAAAGAGTGTGGGAACGTTTTCCAGAGTTCACGTGGGATATCCTGTCCAGGGATACAGTCTAGCAAAACCTCTGGGAGAGAGGACAGGGCCAGCAGTGGTGTGAGCGGCTCCCTCTGTCCAGAAGCTTGGAGTCCTCAGTGGTCCTCCGCTGCCAGTGCCTTGCCCTCTGGCCCTGGTTCAGCGCTCGGCTGACCTGACTCTCAGTGTCTGATTGGTTCTTCCCACTGTTGCCCTTCCACCTGAATATCTGGAAAGTGGGGCTGATGGGCCCTACCTACCTCACGGGGTCATCAGGGGGACCCAGTCAGACAGGTGCTCAGCATGAGGTGCTAAATAGAAGTTCAACAAACCACCGCACCCTACTTCTCATTCTCACATGTACAGGACACACACGCAAGGGGCGATGGAGATTTCCTTTGAGAGCGGGAGTTCATGGATTCTTCTGCCTCTCATTCCGCATTTCTGCACCTTGTCCATGGTTCACACCATGCAAGGTATTTTCCCAGGTGAGAAGAAAAGCGTAAGGGCCATAGTAGTAAAGAAACTCAGGGTGCTTCATTGCACCCTACAGATGACAAAGTCGCTCGGGGGAAACAGCGGTGTCCATTGTGAACAGTGGTTACGTGGACTCAGCGGATGAGGAAAATGCATTGGCTGTGTCCATGTGTTGTGGGCTGAGCCAGTCCCATCCCATTGTTCACCAATCATGCCGTCTTCTCAGCCAACAGGCATACCATCTACTTGAATTCAGTTGAGCAAACCATCCCCTGCCTCCCTTGAGAATACACTTCTCCCTACAGGGAGCGGAGTTACCCAAAGTCATCAGCAGTCACCCTGTGAGACCCAAGGTCATGGTGGTGCAGAAGCCACGCCTTCCAGAGGCTGCTGCGGGTCAGGGGCTAAGCACAGCAAGGGTGCCTGGCTAAGGGAGCCGTGCTCTCGGGAGACCTGGCGTTCTGGGAAGGCTGACTTTGGCTGGAGAATTCCCATGTGGTCTTGCCCAGCACTCTGCGATGCCTTTCTCTCTCCTCCATCAGGGTCAGACTTGTCTTGTGGTCTGACAGGGCTCCCAGCTTTTCCAGCTCCCTCCCTATTTTCCCTCACACAGGCATTTCCTCTCATAAAGCCCTTGCAAATTTCATCCCATCCCAGCTTCTGCCTCTCCGAAGACCCGGGCTAATACATTGTGGGGTTTTGCTTGTTGTTTTTTATTTGTTTTTGTTTGTTTGTTTTTGTGTTCCTATCGGTAATCTCCAGGGTGCCAAGCCCGAAAGATCCTTGCTGGTCTCTCCCTCTGAGGAGGGAGGAAAATTTCAGGATTCCCTGCATGGCCTCCCTTGGAACCAAACCCTGAGGTGCCCTGATTTCTTCCTTGAATGGCAGGCGGCAGAGCAGCTGCAGGCTTGGCAGTGAGCTGTGCTGGTTTCTAGGAGAGTAAATACATTTTGCTTCTTTGATGACAGACCTAGACTAGACATTGTCTGGAAAGGGGGTTACAACCCCGCCTCAGCTACTTCTGAGCTGGGACCGGAGGCTTGGCAGGTGAATGTAAGGGAGCTCATCTACAAAGTGGAGATCGCAGTACCCATCTCATTCTATGAGAAGCTATTCAATATCTTCCCTCCCTTTCTCCTTCCCTCCATTCCTCCTTTCTTCTTGACCTTCCTTCCATTTTTCCTTCCTCCCTCTCTTCCTCCTTCCCTTATTTCTTTTCTTTCTTCCTTCCTTCCCTCCTTCCCTCTATTCTTTCTTCCTTTCACTGATATTTATTGAGGGCTCACTATGTTCCTCTGTGCAAGTGGAACACTGTATTACCTGCTAAGTGTGATGGGTGACACCTAATAAAAGAATAAGGCCCAACGCTAGCCATCTAGAAGCTTGAGAGCTATGGCTGTAGAAGAGACAACCCCACTTAAAACAGCTGTGAATGTCAAAGTAAAATACAAGGAAACATCTGGGAGTTATCTAGGTAGCAAGGGGAAAAGGCGTGGGCTACACCAGCTCTAGTGACTCACTTAAGGTCTTAGGAGGAAAGGATTTAAGTCTTCAGAGTTCTAACTAGGAGAGAGAGTAGGAGAATGTCCCAGACCAAGAATCATGGGAACACAGCCCCACGGCAATGGTTCCCCACCAGGGCCATTTTAGAGACGATTTGGGGTTGTCACAGCTGGAGAGGGTGCTATTGACATTGAGTGCTCAGAGGCCAGGAATGCTGCTAAACCCCTATATGTAACACATACACAGGACAGCCTGCTTCCAGGAGCACGTCAACAGTGCTGAGGTGGAGAAACCCTGGTCTACAAGGGTGATGTGCGATGGGCGTGGGATGGATTATCCAGGGAGAAGGTTGGCGATGAGCCCATTGGGGAGGGGTGAAGAGTGGGCCTGGAAAAAGAACCGCAGGTGTTGCTTGGCTCCGAGCGGTGTTTAGGATTCGGCGCTGTAGGTTCTTGGACAATCTAGAAACACAAGCAAACTGGGCTCCTGAAAACGCTGGTGGCAGAAGAAGGAGGGCGAGAGCTGCAGCCACGTCAGCATGAGCTGCAGCAGCTCTTTCTAGGCGGCGGTGAGGGAGACCCAGGCTGGACAGAGGCCCACGGGACCTGAGGGCTCACTCCTGCCACATTCTGAAGACAAAATAGTCATCAAAAAGCCTGGCGTGGGGACCTCAGAGTGACCGTGTTCTTTGAGACCGAGCTTTGTCCTTGGGGTCTCAGTGACGTTGCCTGGCTTGTAGAATGCCGTTCTTGTTAGGAGAGACTCTAGTCGGCACCATCTTAGGGGGAAACGTGTTCTTTTAATAAGTTTCTAACTTTTCTTAAGCGTGACGGGACCCCCTCTCTTAGGTGCCCTAGACTCGAGTGAGTTAGCGCTGTGGGCTTCAACCACTAAGCCGGATCTATCTATCATCTATCTATCTATCTATCTATCTATCTATCTATCTATCTATCTATCATCTATCTATCTATCTATATCTTCTAATGGAGAATATTCTTTTTTTAAAATCTTTATTATTGAAAGTACTATATATGTCCCCTTTTCCTCCCATTGACCCCTTATAGACAGCCCCGCCCCCCACCCCAGGCCTGTGCCCATGGGTTATGCATATATGCATACAAGTTCTTTGGTTGATCTCTTCCCACGCGCCTCCACCTTCCCTCTGCGTGTTTTATTTATTTATTTTTAAATAGGGAAGTTTAAGTAAAAACAAAAACAAGACAAAGTTCTCCCGGGAAGAAAGCCTGTTGTTCCACCGAGAGGGCTTGGTTCCTGTGTGGATGCTCCTCTCACCACGCTGTTCCGAGGAGGGCCCCATCCCGAGGACCCCACCTCCGCCCGGGGTGCGGAGAGGCGGGCCACGGTCACTGGGGTTCCGGCTCCCCACTGTCCTCCAGGACTCCGCGGCGGCCTGGTGTGGCGTGTGTGTGCACGCGTGCATGTGTGAGCGTGGCTTCTGGGAACAGGGAAAAGGGCAGAGAGAAACAGATGGGTCCCCCGAGACTCCCCTTGGCCTGCAAACTGAAAGGCGGAGAAAATCGTAATAAAACACGGAAACAGCTGTGGCAGGACAACAGCAGCGTGGGGGGCGGGTCCCGGCCCCAGGGGGGCTTGCAGTCTGTCAAGATTCTGCTCGGAGGAGGCGGGTGGGTATCACCAAAAACAGCGTCCACAGCCTGGGTGGTGCCCACTCTGTGGGTCACCAGATCTACCCTCCGCCCTGCATCCCCTCTCACTCTCCAGGCCGGACTGTAAAATGGAGATTGCATTTATTTTTTACTACATTAGGGAAGATTTGCAAACAGGAGCCCTCCCTGCTGCTGGTAGTTCACTGTGTGTTGTGGTTGCCCTTTCTTCAGCCTTGTATAAATCCCCCAACTTCCTTTAAACCTGGTTTGTGTCCGGGTTTCGGCACAAAAGTCAACAGCAGGTTCGCACAACATCTGTTTTTGTCCAGGATGGACCAGGATGATACCCTGACCAGGCAGAAAAGACATGTGTTTAGTCATAATCATTGGCTCCATTTCAAAAGCCATGGGACTCTGTCTCCAGGGACTTTTGGGCTGGGCAGCTCTGAGAAATTCAGAGGGAAAATGTGGCAACTTGGGGGAAGAGCGTAGATTTCATATCAGCATGGACGGAGTTTCTGGGAAAGTGAGGAA